CTGTACTGTTTTTCATACTGGTGCTTTATATTTATGGATTTGAGGATGCTGGGTGTTAGCCAGGGACTGTTCAGTCTCTTAGCTATGATCTATGTAGTTTTTTAGGGCAGTGCTTGTTATAGAGGTATTGGGTCTTTTTTAGAAAATTATTAATACATTCGTCAGTATCTGTATAGATTTCTAGCTCAGTTTGCCAGTCGATGTTTGTTACTGCTGTTGTGAAGTTATTAATGGCTGCCTCATTATGAAGCCTGAACGTTACTTTAGTAGTGTCTTGGGGTAATTTACCTAGATCGGTTATGAGAAAGGTAGGGTAGTGGTCTGTGGTATTATCTGTGATTATGCCTGATTTTAAAGGAGATATGGTGTTGGTCTAGATGTGGTCTAATAGGGAAACACTAGTCTTTGTAATTCTTGTAGGTTTTGTTACTGTTGGTAGCAACATGCAGTTACTCATAGTATTTGTGAATTCAGTTACATGTGGGTCCTGGTCTTGCAGGAGATTTATATTGAAGTCTCCTGAGAGTAGTAAGTGATCTTTATTCATGCGTGCATCAGTTATCATACTTCCTAGGTTTTCACTAAAACGACTGATATTTGACTGTGGTACTCTGTAGATGTTTATCACTGTGAGAGGTTTTTGTAGGTATTTGGATTTGAATTTACCTATTATATATTCCCCATGTTCATCCCTTGTGCAAATATTATTGATACATTCTAGTTGGTCTGAGTAGTATATAGCTGTGCCACCCCCTTGTTGATCTGGCCTACAGTTGTGTGTGGCTGTGTAATGAGGAATGGCATAGACATCTGTAGTATCTGGCTTTAGCCAGGTTTCAGTGAGAGTAATGATGGACATACTGGCATATAGGGAATTTAGTTATGCTGTGAGGTCATCATAATGTTTGTTTAAAGATCTGACATTGTAAAGACAGTTATGTCATTGTTGACTCTGAGAAGTGCCTTCGTTTGTTCTGCTGTGTAGTAATTACAGTTGCTGTTTGATTCATTTAAGTCATTCAATAAGAGGTTGGTATCAGGATCAATGCTTGTAATCATAAGATTTATAGTGAATCTACAATTAGACTTAAGTATAAGACAATGTTAATATTCTAAAGCTAAAAAATAGCACCTGAATTATTTTAGCAAATGTGAATATATGAACTAAGGCAGTTCTTTAAAGCTAAAATAAAGAAAATATAAAAGGGACTAAAAGAAGTAGGGTAAAACAAATAAAGTGGTAATCAAATAAAGGAGCTAGGGACTATAAGGAATATAATACTAAAATAATGAAAGTATTACACTTTAGCACCTGAAAATAGCTCCTTAATGATTCTAACAAATGTGAATGTATGAACTAAGGTAGTTATTTAACCCTTTGACTGTCGCAACCCCCAATCCTGAGGTGTCTCCTGGTGTCGCAAAATTTAAAAAAAAAAAATGATTTTTTCTTATGAAATGATAGAGAATCTTTTCCCGATTGTAAAGACACCAAAAAACGAAATTTGATGGAAAACTGACGGAATTACGCTCTCGCGAAGTTAGCGACCTCGGCGATATTTACAAATCGGCGATTTCGCCCAATTTGAGCCCTATTTTCGGCTAATTCCATTATTCCAGTCAACCAAACTCATAGCTATTTTTTCAGGACTCCATTTTTTCCATCGATTGAGTACAAGAAACTGCCCATTTACCGATTTCAATTACCCAATAACATGGTCAGAAATTTGCAATTTGGCCAATTTCACGAAAATTAAAAAATATGACAATTTCAAAATAAGGACCAGAATGAACAATGCAGACATTCCTAGCTCTAAAATAACATTTTCTTTGTTCATCAGTCATGTCTCCAGGCCCCTCTGATATTACTCTTGCTTTTTATTTTGAAATTTTATTCAAACAAAAAATAGAAGATTTACTGTTATGCAGACTGCTGCAGTACTGTAATAATTGTAAAAATTACATCAACCCATTCATGACTGCATATTAGAATGGCTATTTGGACATTTATTGGACAATGACATTTGTTTACTTTTGAACATCGGCAAAAATCAAACATTTCCTGTACTTTGTGCTCCATTTCCAGGTTTTTTTTTATAGTAAAATTAATCAAAATCACCTCTATTTCTATAATATAGTTTCCATACTATCAAATGAGACCAAGAAAACGAGAATACAACCATAGATACTATACGAAAATTGACCACAAAGTCGGCATTTTAATTAAAAAAAACGGTCGGAGTTTTTTTTTTTTCTCATTATGCACTGCGTGCTCCAGGATTTTTTTTATATGGTGCACACTGACCACACAGACCCATTCTCTCACATGTGGGCCTACCAGCTTTCTCCTGCCTGATTTGAAGCCGCTAGAATTTATGAGTATATATACGTCAAACACGGTACCTCGTAAACGTATATATACTGCCGCGACAGTCAAAGGGTTAAAGCAAAAATAAAGGAGAAAATATAAAAGGGACTAAAATAAGTAGTGGTAAACAAAGTTAAATGGACAGACAGTCACTACTATATAATATTAATTTAGGAGTAAGATTTGGCTTGTAATATGAAGTTTGAGCAGTTAATAGCACTAAAAAAAAAGTAAAAAACTTCATATCATCTGCAAACAGGGACACCTCTCAGTCTATACCTTTCGTCATGTTATTCACATATACCAAAAATAGCACTGGTCGTAGGACTGACGTCTGTGGAACCCCATTTGTGGAACCCCATTTGTCACAGGTGCCTACTCTGATATCTCGTCACATACCATGACTCGTTGTTGCCTCCCTGTCAGATATTCAGTGCCCTTCCTGATATATGTGCCTGATCCTCTAGGTTTTGCACTAATCTCTTGTGAGGAACTGTGTCGAAGGCCTTCTTGCAGTCCAAGAAAACTCAATCTACCCACCCCTCTCTCTTGTGTCTTCCGTTACCATGTCATAAAACTCCAGTATGTTTGTGACACAGGATTTGCCTTCCATGAATCCATGCTGGTTGTCATTTATAAGCTTGTTCTGTTCTAGGTGCTCCACCACTCTCCTCCTGATAATCTTCTCCATGACTGCATACTCTGCACATCAGTGACACTGGTCTGTAGTTTAGTACCTTATGTCTGTCTCCTTTCTTAATAATGGGGACTACATTTGCCATCTTCCATACCTCAGGTAGTTGCCCAGGTTTAAATGGATGTGTTGAAAATTGTTGTTAGTGGCACACACAGTATCTCTGCTCCCTCTCTAAGGGCCCACAGAGAGATGTCCGATCCCACCGCCTTTGAGGTATCAGGGTCATTTAGCAGCTTCTTCGCCTCCTCCTTGGTTGTGTGTATTTCATCCAGCACTTGTTGGTATATCTCTTGTTGGTGTACCTCCTTGTTCTCACTTACCAGAGTCCTTTCTGTTCCACTGTAAATATATACTTAAATCTCATGTTGAACTCCTCACATATTTCTTGGTCATTTCTTGTGAGCTCCCCACCTTCTTTCCTCAGCCTGATTACCTGGTCCTTTACTGTTTGTCTTCCTCCTGATGTGGCTATACAACAGCTTCAGGTCAGGCAACTTTTGATGTTATGCCATTTTTGTACCGTCGCTGGGCCTCCCTCCTTATCTGTGCATACTTGTTTCTGGATCTTCAACTAATCTCTCTATTTTCCTGTCTTCTTTACTTTTCCATTCTCTAGTGCATTTAGTTTTTTGCCTCCCCATACCTTTGGGTAAACCAAGGGCTCATTCTGGTCTTCCCAATATTTCTATTGCTCTTGGGAACAACCCTTTTCTCTGCCTCCTTTCATTTTGTTGTTACATTGTCGATCATTTTGTTTACTGACTTTCCTAGCAATTCACTTTCCCACTGAACCTCCTGCAGGAAGTTCCTCATACCTGTGTAGTCCCCCTATTGTAGTTTGGCTTTTCCAATCCTACTCCTGTAACCCTCTCCACTTGTAACTCTGCTATGTATTTAAAGCTCAGAAGCATGTGATCACTAACTCCAAGGGGCCTTTCATATGTGATGTCTGAGCTACTCAGGGTGAACATGAGGCCCAGTCTTGCTGGTTCATCTTCCCCCCTCTCTCTCTCTGGTAGTGTCCCTAACATGTTGATGCATGAGGTTTTCCAGTACCACATCCATCATCTTGGCTCTCCATGTTTTGGGACCCCCACGTGGCACCAGGTTTTCCCAATCCATCTCCTTGTGATTGAAATCGCCTATAACTAGTAACTTTGCTCTACTCGTGTGAGCTCTTCTGGCCACCTCAGCTAGTGTGTCCACCATTGCTCTGTTGCTCTCTTCATATTCTTCTCTTGGTCTCCTGCAATTCTGTGGAGGGTTATACTTCACTGCAGTGACTACCTTACACCCCCCAGACTGATTGTACATGTCCATTTCTTCAGTTCCCCACCATGTGTGTGTGTGTGTGTGTGTGTGTGTGTGTGTGTGTGTGTGTGTGTCTGTCTGTGTCTGTTGTTGTCGTCTGTTGTCTGTCTGTCTTGTCTGTCTGTCTGTCTGTCTGCTGTCTCTCTGTCTCTCTGTGTCTGAGCTTGGGCCAGTATGCCAGTATTATTAGAATGCAGTATGCATTCTAATAATATATTTCTCAAAATTTAGTGAAGTTAAGATAGGTTCATCATTATGGGCTGAGTTTAGTGTGTCATTCGTGAGAAATATGTTTTATCAATCATTTCCTGAGACTGAGTCCCTTGAAGGTTCCTCCCAGAACTGTCTGAAAGCTAATAGCTAATAAGACAACATGGAACACCTAGATAGGTAGTTTTTGTGCTCCTAAAGCTTATAATGATGGGTCACTTGTTATGAATAATACGTGGCTGAAAATTTTAATCATCATACTTTTTTTCTTGCTTTTATGGAATACAGAGGATGTGAAATAATAGCACAGTAAGGGAGGGTTAAGTAAGATATTCAAAGTGATATCTATCCTTGCACACTACTATCCACACTATGTAGTATTACTAAGAACTGACGGTATTTTAATAATTGCAGATTCCTCTCCAGTAACCCCAGCTGTAGACATCTACTCATTTGGGATGGCAGCTTTGGAGATGGCTGCACTGGAGATACCCGGAAATGGTGACTCTGGCAATGTTGTCACGCAAGAACAGGCACGTGAAATTGATTTATATTTTTGTTACAAGGTTAATAGCATCTTCTACACAAGGCTCAAGCAATACCTTGATAAACTTTACTTTCAGTCATTATTATTATTATTTTATTATTATTATTATTTATTATTATTTATTATAAAAACTACTACTACTACTGCTCTTGTCTAACATGCTCATACATCCCTGCTGCATGTCCAAGCCCCTTGCACACAGAACCTCTTTACCCCCTCCCTCCATCTTTTCCTAGGATTACCCCTATCCCTCCTTCCCTCCACTACATATTTATACGCCCTCCAAGTCATCCCATTTTGCTCCATTCTCTCTAAATGACCAAACCACCTCAACAGCCCCTCTTCATCCCTCTGAATAATACTTTTAGTAACTCCACACCTCCTCCTAATTTCTACACTATGAATTCTCTGCATAATATTTATGCCACACACATTGCCTTTAGACACATCTTCACTGCTTCCATCCTCCTCCTTGCTGCAACATTCACAGCTCATGCTTCTTACCCATATAGGTGTTGGTACCACTATACTCTCATACATTCTCTTCTTTGCCTCCATTGATAATGTTCTTTGTCTCCACAGATACCTAAATGCACCACCCACCTTTTTTCCTCCATCAATTTTATGGTTTACCTCATCCTTGATAAACCCATCTGCTGACAAGGTTACTGCCAAATATGTGAACACATTCACTTCTTCCATACTCCCTCCCTCCAATCTGATATCCAATTTTTCCTTATCTAAATCATTTGATACCCTTATCAGCTACTTTTATCTATGTTCACTTTCAACTTTCTTCCTTTACACCCCCTCTCAAACTCATGCACTAACCTATGCAACTTCTATTCAGAATTTCCCAGAAACAGTATCATCAGCAAAATGTCTCTTTATGTTCATTTTTTTTTTTTTTACACGTTGGCCATTTCCCACTGAGGCAGGGCGACCCAAAAAGAAAGCAAAAAAAACTCATCATCATTCAACACTTTCACCATCGCTCAAACATATCACTGTGTTTGCAGGGGCGGCGCTCAGCTTTGACAGCTTATACGACCCTCCAAACTGCGAATATCCCAAACCCCTCCTTTAACCCTTAAACTGTCTACACGTAGATCTACATTCACATGCAGGGGGCTCCGAACGTAGATCAACGTTTTATATTTCATTCCTTCAAAATTGGCGCGATAGGCCTGAGTCGCCTAGACATGAGATAATGGGTCTGCACACTCAGTGTATGCAGTATGAAAAAAATTGGGACGTCGGGGTACCGCATGGTAACACGTGGTAAACGTAATCACTTTGGCATAAAACTCTTCGTTATGTGTGACTGTGAGACTGGTTTTGTGTTGGATGTCATTATCTACACAGGGAAAAATGCACTCAACGATACCAGGCACATGTTGGGCATTTCTGGTGATGATGTTCGCAAGATGATGGAACCATACCTTGGCAAAGGTCATACATTGTTCACAGTCAACTGGTATACAAGCCCTATGCTCGCTGATTTCCTGCATATGAACAATACTGATATATATGTGGAGCAGTGAGAAGAAATAGAAAACACATGCCATAGATCCCATGGATTTAAAAAAAAAATGGAAAACATGCCCACTCACTCGCATCTGGACCAGATTCATGGAATGCTCTGTTTATAAAGAAGTGAAAAGTACCACTAGCACGAGCCCTCAGTATTCTTTGGAGAAAGAGCTTAGATCTAAGTGAAATATCGGAGTGCAGACATAGCTCCTTTGCATAAGGGAGGTAGTAGAGTACTAGCTAAAAATTACAGACCAGTAGCCCTAACCTCTCACATCATAAAAATCTTCGAAAGAGTGATGAGACGGCAGATTACAAATTTCATGGACCAGCACAACCAACATAACCCGAACCAGCATGGTTTTAGAGCAGGACGATCATGTCTGTCACAGCTGCAGAACCATTATGACAGAATTACGGAGGCATTGGAAGACGACCAAAATGCAGATGTGATTTACACAGATTTTGCAAAGGCGTTTGACAAATGTGATCATGGAGTAATAGCGCACAAAATAAAGGCCATGGGCATTACGAGAAGGTAGGCAGATGGATTTTTGGTTCCTAACACACAGAACACAAAAAGTAGTAGTGAACAGGGCAAGATCCAGCATCAGCGAGGTCTAAAGCTCAGTGCCCTAAGGCACTGTCCTGGAACCTTTGCTGTTTCTCATCCTCATAACAGACATAGACATAAACACCCGGCACACTTTTGTATCATCATTTGCAGATGACACTAAAATAAGCATGAAAGTCACTGCAATAGAGGACACTGAAAAAGTACAGGACGACATCAGCAGGGTTTTCCAGTGGGCAGTGGAGAACAACATGACGTTCAGTGGTGATAAGTTCCTGCTGCTTAGGTATGGAAAGAATGTAGAACTCAAAAGGAGCACTATATACAAAACTCAAGAGGGTCACCAAATAGAACATAAGGAACACGTAAAAGACCTAGGAATAATTATGTCAGTGGACCTTTCTTTTGAAGACCATAGCAAGACAAAAATCACGACAGCCAGGAAGATGATAGGGTGGGTATTGAGAACTTTCAAAACAAGGGAAATAATGCCAATGGTGACACTCTTCAAATCGCTAGCGCTCCCTCACTTAGAATATTACTCAGTGCTGATGGCCCCGTTCAAGGCAGGAGAAATATCTGAGCTGGACCAAATACAGAGATCGTTTATGGCTCACATTGAGCCTGTAAAGCACCTAAACTACTGGGAACACCTGCAAGTCTTGAACATGTATTCATTGGAGGTACATGATAATATATACCTGGAAGGTACTCAAGGGCTTGGTCCCAAATCTGCACACTGCCATAACATACTGGAGCGAGAAATATGGGAGGAAGTGTAAAATAAACCCAGTGAGGAGCAGGGGTGCGGTGGGGACGATAAGGGAACACTATTAACATCCAGGGTCCCAGACTATTCAAGATCTTACCAGAAGATATCAGAAACATGGCTGAAACAAGTGTAGAAGCCTTCAAGAGAAAACTGGGGAAGTATCTTCACCAGGTGTCAGATCAACCAGGCTGTGATGGATATGTGGGGCAGCAGGCCTCCAGCAGCATCAGCCTGGTTGACCAGGCAAGCACCAGACAAGCCTGGCCCATGGCCAGGCTCAGAGAGTAGATAAACTCTTGAAACTCTTCAAAGGTATATCAAAGGTAAGGTTGTGGAAGTGTTTCTTGCCAATGACATCATGGCAGTGGCGTGCATGACAAATGGGATGTGATGTTGCTGTCATCTATCCACAAACGAGATGGTACAGACAGACAGACTGAGCAGGTTCAACAATGAACTTATTGTAAAGCCACCTGCTGTTGTCACTATGGTACAGACAGACAGACTGAGCAGGTTCAACAATGAACTTATTGTAAAGCCACCTGCTGTCGCCGACTATACGAACAATATGGGACTAGTTGACAAGTGTGACGTGATGATAGGATTTGTTGACTGTGTGTGTAGGAGTTGCAAGTGGTATATCAAAGTGTTTTTCCACCTTGTAGACATTACAATGCTCAATGCCTTCAACATATGTGAAATAAAGACTGGGAATTCACCCTCAATATCATCAAGCAGATAGTGAAAAAGTATGGTACCACACCTATACCTGCCACTCCACAGTGACCTGTCACCCCACAACCAGAGGAAGAAGTGACAACCGAATAATCTCTGACTGTCACTGCCTGATACCAATACCATCTACTCCAAAGACGAAGTATTTTCAGAAAAAGTGTGTTGTGTGTGCTTACACTATGCAGCGACTCCGAGTGCAAAAAGACACATGATTCATATGTCAGCAGTGTGGGGTGGCACTCTGTATGAATCCATGCTTCTTGGAGTATTATACAATGGTGGACTTCTAGAAACATAAATGGGACCTGTAAATACCTTGCACATATATATATGTAAACAATAGTATGTGATTGAACCAGGTGTACAAATTCATCTGTCAGTGTGAACATGTGTGTTTGTGACAATATGATTACTAATTCAGTACCAAACATTTGTGTCTCAACAAGAATTGGCTATGAAATCAAAAGATCTGTAACAAAACATTATTATCATATCATAAAAACAACAATAAATAGAAAAGATTTGAAAAAAAAAGATACATGTTTATTATTTCTGCAAGCGGCAGTGCTCCATGTTGCCGACAGCTCATCATTTAGCACCAACTTCGCGGGCTTATGTCTTGTTAAGTACTGACCCTAAAATTCTTTTTTTATCCTATAGCATTTACAAAAATGCGCTCTTCATTTAAAAAATAAAAAAAAAGATTTTTTATTTTTCAAAATATTTGGAGCACTACGTAGGTGAATGTAGATCTGCGTTTGGACAGTTTGCGGGTTAAAGTGCAGGCATTGTACTTCCCATTTCCTGGACTCGAGTCTGGCTAACCAGTTTCCCTGAATCCCTTCACAAAATATTACCCTGCTCACACTCCAACAGCTTGTCAGGTCCCAAAAACCATTTGTCTTTATTCACTCCTATCTAACACGCTCACGCACACTTGCTGAAGTCCAAGCCCCTCACCCACAAAACCTCCCTTACCCCGTCTCTCCAACCACTTTGAGGATGACCCCTACCCCCTCCCTCCAACCTCTTTGAGGATGACCCCTACCCTGCCTTCCTTTCCCTACAGATTTATATGCTCTCCAAGTCATTCTACTTTGTTCCATTCTCTCTAAATGACCAAACCCCTTTAACCCCTCTTTAGCCTTCTGAGTTATACTCTAAGTAACTCCACACCACCACCTAATTTCCACACTATAAATTCTCTGCATAATATTTACACCACACATTGCCCTAAGACATGACATCTCCACTGCTTCCAGCCACCTCCTCGCTGCAGCATTTACAACTCGTGCTTCACACCCATATAAGGGGGTTGGTACCACTATACTCCATACATTCCCTTCTTTGCTTCTATGGATAATGATTTTTATCTCCACAGATACCTCAACACACCACTCACCTTTTTTCCTTCATCAATTCTATGGTTACCCTCATCCTTCATAAACCCATCCACTGACAAGCCAACTCCCAGATACCTGAATGCATTCACTTCTACCATACTCCCTCCCTCCAATGTGATATCCAATTTTTCTTAATCTAAATTGTTTGATATCCTCATCACCCTACTCTTATTTATGATCACTTTCAACTTTCTACCTTTACACACCCTCCCAAACTCGTCCACTAACCCTTGCATCTTTTCTTTAGTCTCCCAAAAGCAAAATATCATCAGCAAAAACTATCTGTGTCAACTCCCACTTTCTATGAGAGTCCCCATAATTTAATGTCACCCCTCTCCCCAACAGCCTAGCATTTACTTGTTTTACAACCCCATCTGTAAATTTGTTAAACAACCATGGTAACATTACACATCCCTGTCTAAGACCTACTTTTACCGGGAAGTAGTCTCCCTCTCTTCTACACACCTTAACCTGAGCCTCACTATCCTCATAAAAACTCTTTACAGGATTTAGTAACTTACCACCTATTCCATACACTTGCAACATCTGCCACATTGCTCCCCTATCCACTCTATCATATGCCTTTTTTAAATTCATAAATGCAGTGAAAACTTCCCTACCTTTATCTAAATACTGTTCACATATATACTTCAATGTAAACACTTGATCTACACATCCCTTCACATATATGCTTCAATGTAAACACTTGATCTACACATCCCTTCACACATATATGCTTCACTGTAAACACTTGATCTACACATCCCCTACCCATTCTGCTCATCTGCAATCCTGCTTTCTGTCTTACCTTTAATTCTTTTATTAATGACCCTACTATACACTTTACCCGGTATACTCAGTAAACATATTTCCCTATAATTTTTGGAATCTCTTATTTATATTTTCACTAAATCTAGGAAAAATAAATTTCTTCAGTACAGTTGGTAAGCTAACTGGTCTAGTGTCTGTGGCACTCAAGAAGCTTTGTTTATTTTTATTATGTTTCCTTTGAAGAGAATTTACATTATTAATATATTAATTTTTTTGTTGTTTTTTACAGGTGCTACGAACTATACATTCCTTGGAGCATGAACAGCAGAGAGACTTTATACAGCAGTGCCTAAATCCTGAACAAAGCCAACGTCCAAGTACCGCAGAACTACTCTTTCATCCGGTCTTATTTGAAGTCCACTCCCTTAAACTCTTAGCAGCTCATGCTCTCATACACAACCCTAAGAAATGTACGAATTTCCCTCTTTAGTAATCATTCCTATAGACATGTTATAATTATTGTTAAGAATCATTGTATTAAACAGTATGAAAATGAAATGAATATTAATGAGCTTGGCTTAACTACTCAGTGTAATTAAATATAATATTGTGACTTTTCTATATAATTTTTATAAGAGAGGCAGAGATTCAGTTGTGCACTTATTCCTGTCATTATTTACTATGGTAAAGATTTTTACATTAGGGATAGTTGTCCCAAACTTTATTTTATGCTTAAATGAGTAAAGATTTAAATGTTTTCCGTTCTCATTTCAGCAAACAAATTTATAGATAATTGTGTTGAGGATATGCTTCAACACCAGTACCATAGTGACAGTGTAGTAGCAGAAATTACACATAGCAGTGGAGAACCAACGCTTTTTCGCATGGCAGATATTCCTGTTATTGAAAAGCTGGAGAAATTCATTGAAGATGTCAGGTATGGTACTTTGTTTTTTTTTTACTATGGTCATTATATCTTTGTCTATACCGAGTGCAGATTTCCTAATCATTACTTTTAATTTCACCACAGTACACACTCATTGCAAACTGATGAATAACTAACTTTTTAAAATATTGTATATCTACATGTATATAAAATGTCTCCAGAAGTGAAGTAGTTCCAGCTATCTCTTGAAGACAAGATAACTTACTAATAGTTTCGTACTGACTTTCATCCACGTCCCTCATCACTATTCCAAGACTAACTGCAACTCTCATACTGCCTTAGAGCTAATGTATCACATGATAATAAGATAACTTCCTTGCTCTTCCTGTCAACTCTATAATCTTCACATTTCTTCATGGAGCTAACTGTGTACAAAATTTTCCTGCCTAATGCATTTAAATGTTTGAAGGTTATGTCCCTAATTTGCACAAAAAAAATGAGAGATATAGTAGAAGGTGCAGTGCATGATAAAAGAAAGGCAGAGGTGTCATAAGCACAGTTAAAGAACATGTAAACATCTAAGGTCCAAAACCTTTCATTTTATTCCCAACACATGTAAGAAATATTTCTGGTACCACAGTCTGTAACTTAGAGGGAACTTGACAAATTTCTTTAGTAGGTAATTGACCAGCCATGTTTTTGATGGCTATGTTGGCTTGCAGGCTGCAAGCAACAACAGCCAGTCTAATCAGGGAAGCCTGGTTTCAGAACAGACTGCAAGAGTACAACAGCACCCAGAATCTTTTACAAATAGTCTACAGGTAATTATCATTGTTAGACTCACTAATAATGTGCACAAATTATTCTTCACTTTTACCAAAAATTGGCTTTGGCATTACATAATGAAATGCTTGGAGAAGAAATAAAATGTATTATTGTGATAAAAAAAATAGTGATTGAAGCTAATTACCAAGGTAGGGATTATTGAGACAGCATGAGAGGATAATTTATTTTTGGTAGGACTTTCTAAAAGTTGTCTACTAAGTGTGACAAAAAGCCTCAATAACATAGTGGCACCTGTAAACTCAGGCAGAACTGTGACTGGATTTTTTTTTTTGTTTTGTTTTGTAGACAATGTTAATATCACTGACATATAATGTGTGAGGTCGTTAGAACTTTATTTGCCTTTTGAGGAAAGCAAAAGCATAATAGCTGATTAAATATGAAAGTTTTAAAGCATATTCTGAGTATATTGATTTGTGAATAGGACTTCAAAGTATGAAGAGAATTGTCAGTCAAAATATTGTGAAGCTTTAAGCACATGCAGACAGTTACATGCACAGCAATTGATATACCACATATTGTTATTTTATACACATTAATAATCCTTAATACATGCACTCTTGTATCAAATGATTTGAATTGAATTGGAACATTGTTATATTATTTATTTGTATATTTTACTTTTTTCAGGTTTGGGATTTACCCCTTAACAGCATTTAGAATCAAGCAACAGCCTCCGTCCCGTCCTCGGGCTATCTCACCCGAAGCTGTTGATCCTGTTGCATCAGAAACCCCAGAGACTACAGATATGGAGACACGAAAGGTTATCAATATGATGTGCAACATTAAACCAAATGAAAATGGGCATGGATTGTTTGTAAGTACTATTACACTATAATAATGGCTTTATATTTTTAAAAAGATTGGACAGTTTTTAGAAATCAGAATTTAGTTAAAAAATATTTTCAATAAACTGGCCATATCCTACCCTGGATTATATTAGGTATGAATTTTAACTGTTGAGTTACACAGTAGCAATAATAGATTGAATGGTGTGGTTTTTAGCATCTGTTTATAAATGTATTTGTTTATAAATTTAAGTTTATTCTCTCATTTCCAAGTTAATGTGAATCTTTGTTAATTTCTTGCCATTTCTTACCCACCAGATTCATCTCTTGATGTATCATTACATGCATTTATATTTTAGCTTCCAATTTTGTTAAATATCTCGCTTGGAAAAAGTAGAAGGATAAGTATTTTATGTTTTACCTTTATCTTTTCACTTGGTGATTGTTATTTGCTGAGTTATAAGGCTTTTGTTTAGTAACAAATACTATTTTTACTCATGTGATCAGTTGGTAGACTCTTTCATCCTTAATGCCAGTAATATTTATTTTATTTTTTTTTAACACATCGGCTGATTCCCACCAAGGCAGGGTGGCCCGAAAAAGAAAAACTTTAATCATCATTCACTCCAACACTGTCTTGCCAGAGGGGTGCTTTACACTACAGTTATAAAACTGCAACATTAACACCCCTCCTTCAGAGTGCAGACACTGTACTTCCCTTCTCCAGGACTCGAGTCCGGCCTGCCGGTTTCCCTGAACCCCTTCTTAAATGTTACTTTGCTCACACTCCAACAGCATGTCAAGTATTAAAACCATTTGTCTCCATTCACTCCTATCAAATGCACTCACGCATGCTTGCTGGAAGTCCAAGCCCCCTCGCACACAAAACCTCCTTTACCTCCTCCCTCCAACCCTTCCTAGGCCAACCCCTACCCTGCCTTCCCTCCACTACAGATTTATACAATCTCGAAGTCATTCTGTTTTGTTCCATTCTCTCTACATGTCCAAACCACCTCAACAACCCCTCCTCAGCCCTCTGGATAATAGTTTTGGTAATCCCACACCATCTCCTAATTTCCAAACTATGAATATTCTGCATTATATTCACACCAAACATTGCCCTCAGACCTGACATCTCCACTGCCTCTAGCCTTCTCCTCCCCATTGCAACATTCATCACTCATGCTTCACACCCATATAAGAGTGTTGTTATAACTATACTCTCATACATTCCCCTCTTTGCTTTCATAGACAAAGTTCTTTGTTTGCACAGACTCCTAAGTGCACCACTCATCCCTTATCCCTCATCAATTCTATGATTCACCTTATCCTTCATAGACCCATCTGCTGACACGTCCACTCCTAAATATCTGAATACATTCACCTGGATACATTCACCTGGTGGCTCTGGTGGCCTGGTGGTTAACGCTCTGGCTTCACACGGCGAGGGCCTGGGTTCGATTCCCAGCCAGAGTAGAAACATTGGACGTGTTTCCTTCCACCTGTTGTCTATGTTCCCCATCAGTAAAATGGGTACCTGGGTGTTAGTCGACTGGTGTGGGTCGCATCCTGGGACACTGACCTAAGGAGGCCTGGTCACAGACCGGGCCGCGGGGGCGTTGACCCCCGGAACTCTCTCCAGATAAACTCTCTCTCCAGATAAACCTCCTCCATACTCTCTCCCTCCAATCTGATATCCAATCTTTCGTCACCTAATCTTTTTGTTATCCTCGTAACCTTACTCTTTCTTATATTCACTTTTAATTTTCTTCTTTTACATCCTGTACCAAATTCATCCACCAACCTCTGCAGCTTCTCTTCAGAATCTCCCAAAAGCACATAGCAGTGATCATTTTCTTCCAATTTATAGCCTCCATTCTTTAGGGAGGTTATTGGGTTTTTCTTTTAATAACTTTTCCCTAAGTGTTGGTAAATTTCATTGCTTTGCTTGCAGAGGTATCATCATTTGTAGTTTGTCATGTGTTAATATAAGCATAAGTTTTCATTGCAGTTTTCTTTTCATTTTGTTATTACCAGTATTTTTCCTTGAAAATTGGCGCAATCTTGCTTCAGACCTCTTAAATTTGTGGCAGCTAAATTCTGGTGCCATTTTAATTAGTTTACTTTGTACTACTAATTAATGCAATAAATATTACATGCATGTCAGCCACTTGCTCATGTTGAATTATTTGAAAAATTTCAGTGTACTAAATTCTTCCTTCTTTCAACACACCGGCCGTACCCCACTGAGGTGGGGCGGCTCAAAAGGAAAAACAAAAGTTTCTCCTTTTACATATAGTAATATATACAGGAGAAGAGGTTACTAGCCCCTTGCTCCTGGCATTTCAGTCGCCTCTTACGACACACATGGCTTACGGAGGAAGAATTCTGTTTCACTTCCCCATGGAGATAAGAGGAAATAAACAAGAACAAGAACTAGAAAGAAAATAACAGAAAACCCAGAGGGGTGTGTATATATATGCTTGTACATGTATGTGTAGCGTGACCTAAGTGTAAGTAGAAGTAGCAAGACGTACCTGAAATCTTGCATGTTTATGAGACAGACAAATTGTACTAAATACTATAATAATAAAGCTTCACAAGTGTAGTTTACAGATATTATAATTATTACTGTTAACCATTACCATTCTGAACTCTTTGGGGGAAGAGGTTTCCATAATATTCAAAGTTTTGGTTTGGCATCAATACATAATATTGTACATAATTTTTTTTTCATCAAACTGGCCATATCCCACAGAGGCAGGGTGACCTAAAAAGAAAAACAATTTTTTCTTTTTAAATTTAGTAATTTATGCAGAAGTGGTTACTAGCCCCTTGCTCCAGGCATTTTAGTCACCTCTTATGACGCACATGGCTTGTGGAGGAAGAATTCTTTTCCACTTCCACTTCTTTATTTCTTCTTAACCCTTTAAGGGTTGACAGGCTCTCTCCCAAACTTGTTCTCAGGGTCGAAAAATTTTCAAAAAAAAAAAAAAAAAAAAAAAGTTTCCCTTATGAAATAATAGAACATATTTTTGTGAGTGTTATTATTTTATTATTATCACACCAGCCGATTCCCACCAAGGCAGGGTGGCCCGAAAAAGAAAAACTTTCACCATCATTCACTCCATCACTGTATTGCCAGAAGGGTGCTTTACACTACAGTTTTTAAACTGCAACATTAACACCCCTCCTTCAGAGTGCAGGCACTGTACTTCCCATCTCCAGGACTCAAGTCCGGCCTGCCAGTTTCCCTGAACCCCTTCATAAATGTTACTTTGCTCACACTCCAACAGCACGTCAAGTATTAAAAACCATTTGTCTCCATTCACTCCTATCAAACACGCTCACGCATGCCTGCTGGAAGTCCAAGCCCCTCGCACACAAAACCTCCTTTACCCCCTCTCTCCAACCTTTCCTAGGCCGACCCCTACCCCGCCTTCCTTCCACACAGACTGATACACTCTTGAAGTCATTCTGTTTCGCTCCATTCTCTCTACATGTCCGAACCACCTCAACAACCCTTCCTCAGCCCTCTGGACAACAGTTTTGGAAATTTCCCGCACCTCCTCCTAACTTCCAAACTACAAATTTTCTTGCATTATATTCACACCACACATTGCCCTCAGACATGACATCTCCACTGCCTCCAGCCTTCTCCTCGCTGCAACATTCATCACCCATGCTTCACACCCATATAAGAGCGTTGGTAAAACATACTCTAATACTTTCCCCCTTTTTTTGCCTCCAAGGAAAAATTTTCTTTGTCTCCACAGACTCCTAAGTGCACCACTCACTCTTTTCCCCTCATCAATTCTATGATTCAACTCATCTTTCATAGACCCATCCGCTGACACGTCCACTCCCAAATATCTGAATACATTCACCTCCTCCATACTCTCTCCTCCAATCTGATATTCAATTTTAAATCACCTAATCTTTTTGTTATCCTCAAAAACCTTACTCTTTCCTGTATTCACCTTTAATTTTCCTTTTTTGCACACCTCCCAAAATTCATCCACCAATCTCTGCAACTTCTCTTCAGAATCCCCAAGAGCACAGTGTCATCAGCAAAGAGCAGCTGTGACAACTCCCATTTTTGTGTGTGATTCTTTATCTTTTAACTCCACGCCTCTTCCCAAGACCCTCGCATTTACTTCTCTTAAAACCCCCACTATAAATATATTAAACAACCACGGTGACATCACACATCCTTGTCTAAGGCCTACTTTTACGGGGAAAAATAATTTCCCTCTTTCCTACATACTCTAATTTGAGCCTCACTACCTCGTAAAAACTCTTCACTGCTTTCAGTAACCTACCTCCTACACCATACACTTGCAACATCTGCCACATTGCCCCCTATCCACCCTGTCAAAAACGCCTTTCCAAATCCATAAATGCCACAAAGACCTCTTTAGCCTTATCTAAATACTGTTCACTTATATGTTTCACTGTAAACACCTGGTCCACACACCCCCCACCTTTCCAAAAGCCTCCTTGTTCACTGCTATCCTATTCTCCGTTTTTACTCTTAATTCTTTCAATATAACTCTACCATACACTTTACCGGGTATACTCAGCGACTTCTCCCCCTATAATTTTTGCACTCTTTTATCCCCTTTGCCTTTATACAAAGGAACTATGCATGCTCTCTGCCAATCCCTAGGTACCTTACCCTCTTCCATACATTTATTAAATAATTGCACCAACCACTCCAAACCTATACCCCACCTGCTTTTAACATTTCTATCTTTACCCCATCAACCCCCGGCTTCCCTACCCCCTTTTCATTTTACCTTACTGCCTCCGAACTTCCCCCACACTCACAACTGGCTCTTCCTCACTCCTACAAGATGTTATTCCTCCTTGTCCTATACACGAAATCACAGCTTCCCTATCTTCATCAACATTTAACAATTCCTCAAAATATTCCCTCCATTTTCCCCAAATACCTCTAACTCTCCTTTTAATAACTCTCCTCTCCTATTTTTAACGGGACAAATCCATTTGTTTCTCTAGCTTTCTT